GGGGTAAATCATGCAGGAGTACAGTGGACCAGGTGTGCCAACTGCAGTGAAGTGTGGGAGTGCAGCCTGGAAGGGGCTCGAGAAAGTGCTCGAGACTTGAATGTTTGGTAAAATTTCCGAGATACTGTTTGAAAAGGACAGTGAAGGTATGGTTTCTAAAGACTATGGTGTCAGGGAGGGTGCTCCTGGCAGAAACAGCAGCACACACACTTCAAATCCCACTCACCCTTCAAGGCTCTGCGTGCAGTATTAATTCCTAGACTAGTCCAGAGCCTGACTCTCTACCATGCTTTTATATCATAATTTAAAAGGATTCCTGTTACTTGTATTGTTTTGAAAGTCATTCTTATCTTTCCAACTAGATTTTAAGCTCCTTAAAGGCAAGAATGAGGTCACACAACCATTCTCTCCAAATAGGGACTGGACCTGATGGCTTTTGCCAAGGCCCTGGGAAGAGCTCTGAATTCTCCAAGTAAGCTTCACACCTTTCAATATGTTTTGATCACTGAGATTCAACTTGAAGTTTTGTTATATGGGATAGTCTCTCCGCCTTCTACCAAGCTTAGGCCTTCCTCATGAGAGTCCCTGTCTGATTTAACAAGATCAGAACGTACTGGCAAGGGCGTGGGGAAACAGGCATTCGCATACACTGCTGGTGGGAGTATAATTTAGCAGTTTCTAAGGAAGATAATGCCCCACAGGTACACCAGCCTACTTGCAGCACAAGATAACATAGAAAAACAACACTTTTGTCAGCTGGGCAGTGATTAAATCACTATACATCCACGCAAAAGATCTATGAGACATATTAAGTGGAAAAACGAGGTACAGAGTATATGCACAAAATATTTCTGGAAAGAAAATGGTCATAGTGGTGGCCCCAGGGAAGGGAAAATGGGTGGCTGGTGGGGAGGAGTAGAAGGAACTGGCTTTTCACCTTTAAATTTTGAACCATGTGTATGTATAATTTTTTTAAGCATTATGGTGTCATTTTTTTCAAATCTCTTTATCATTATGGCAAATAAACTGCCTTTTAAACCTCAGGTACAGAAGATTTTGAGAGGTAATGAGTGATCCCCGGTTGTTTCTCTGAGAACGGAACAGCCCCTCTACCTGCTAAGTCCTCCCAGGCCCAGGCCCGGTACTTGGAACCCAATGGTGGCCTAATATTGTTGAATGATTGAAATTTCCTTTCCCATCTGAAAGTAAAGCCTTCCCCAAACAAGAGGAATTGCAAAACAGTGATAAAGGGGTTGGGTGGGGAGAAGCGGCACGGCTGAGAATTACTTTTGCTTCATGTACTCATTTACCCTCCATTATCTGAGTACCCATGTGCAAGGAGGTGCACAGGCTGTGAGGTGTATGCCCCACCCTCAGTCCACCAGGAGACAGAAGAGACTGCACAGAAAGAACAGAGGGTAGAAGAGCTACGTGAGTTTTAAAATAAGGGATTTATGAAGCAGGTTATTACTAGTAGCTGAAAACTACTGGCTTGATCACAAATACAAAGGCTACAACCTCAGAGGGATATTTCATTTATTTAATAAAAGATATGGAAATTAAGAATACAGTACAATCGATAAGGATTTATAAGCACACCTTCACACCAGGGAAGCATGTGGATGCTGGTGGAAAGCAACATCTAAATTAGCTGGACCCCTCTTGGCAACCCAGTTACCTAAGAGATATCATCTGGATTTGGTCTTTAGCTGGATGTAATCATTTGTCCAACAAATCTTTACTGAGCAGCCTCTTATGTACAGGGCTATGCTCATTGTCTCTAGCACAGTCAACCCATGAGATTATAGTTCTGGCCTTTGGCTATCATCATAGTAAGTCCTCACTCTTACTGCGAAACCCAAGTCATCTTGGCCTCTCAAGTTGAAGATCAATAGTTCTATAGCAAAAAGTACAAACATCTGCAGACAGGAACAGTTGACCAAGGGACGACATTGTATGTGCAAGTAAAAGTCTGACGGATCCAGAAAAGAGGAACATACCAGAGAATCAAGTACAGCCGGCCCACGTTAACACTGAAATCCAAACAAACCTACTCAGAACGAGTCCCATTCAAATAATACTTAGAAAGATTTCCTCATGCTATTTACAATTTTAAAGTAAATTTAATTTATAAGCAGCTAGGGAATTCTTTATTTAATACCGTTGTAACATCAAAGTTCACATAACTGCTTCTTTCAATCCACGATATTGAGCTTTATGACAGCCTAGGGATAGGAACTAAAAGAAGGCAAACATAATGCCTTAGAGATACAGAAACATTTACACAGCTCAACTGTTAAAAACAGTTCAACATTCATCTGGCGAACATGGTTTGGATATGAGAACACACAGCACACAAGTTCTTCAGGGAGGTGAGAGACCTTTTGGTGGTTCCTCGGGTGACTCCGAAAGCTGGTCCTGTGCAACTTCTTTCAGAGACTGGTTTTTTTCCAACACAGTTTGGACATCTGTGGGTTCAGATTTCCAGGCAATGTGACCACCTTCCTGTTGCTTAGAAGACCAGACATAAGTACGTCACACATATGATATCATTTTCACTCAAGCAATTGGCTGAAGCTATATGACTTAAGCACATTCTATCACTGGGTCAAAATGTTAAGGTTAATGTTTCAGGTTAAATTCTATTGTAACAAACAATAAACATGATTGAAAAAAATCTCCACAGAAGCACAATTTCAAAAGCCCGAATGACAACTCACTTGTTCCAAGTCTCCATCATTACCACAAAATTCCAGTATATTCCAGCTAAGAGTATTTGATCTGGAGTTTAGGAACATTAACCAAGATTGGAGAAAGAAAACCAAGCCTTCCTTTAACCTCTGACAAATAGACAACTAATCCTAATAACAATTTTAATAATAAAATACTCACAGCTCTTGCTTCTCCTACTCGTCTTAAAATGACACCTTCGGCCAATAAAGCCTTCCCTGTTTCCACAAATAACTTCTCTTCATCTGTTTCTCCCAGTTTCTGTAGCTCAGTGTACTTCTCCACAAACCTAGAATTCCAAGGAGTCACATCTTAGGTCTGTATACTGAGAGTTGTCAAGACAGGCTGTTACACAGTGGCAAGCATTCCTTTAACAGATCTTCCCAGAGGAACATTTTTTTTCCTCAAGTGGAATTCAGTAAAACTCTTCAAACTGCTCCCTAAATTCTTTAAAAAAAAAATCACCCTGGACTTATAAAATGGCTTACCGTTGACAGGTAGACTTGAAGTTTGGATTAAACAGATCAAATGCTTTTTGACCAGATCCATAGGCTGAATAAAATTTCCTGAGAAATGCAAAGAACACACATAAATCTCCAATTATAGATCACGGCCAAGAACAGAATGAAGAATAACTGCTAGGCCCTGAAAAGTTAAGTATAACATGACCTACACAGCTGGAGGCTAAGAGTTTTTGTTTTTTTATTTTTAAATAAGTAATGCATGCATATATCGAATGTTACACAAAAGTATCCAGTGAAAAGTAATACTCCTCACCTCTGCACCCCAATACCTCCACCCAGTTCCTTTCCCAGGAAGTAGCACTTACCAGTTTCTTGTGTATGCATCAGAAATATTCTAATACACAAGTATATATGCATCTATCATTCCGTCTCCAACCACACTGTTTAACCCCAAGGACAGTAAACACTACTCTACATCTTGGTTTTTACTTATTTCTTAGAGATCATTTCAGACCAGTACACGTAGATTGTTTCCACTCCTTAGCTACTCTAGACGGTGCTGCAAGATTACTTTTATCTGTTTTTATTTTTAACTGAACTATGCAAATGTCTGTGAAATAAATTCATAAGAGTGGTATTGTGGGGTCAAGGTATGTGTATTTGTAATGTGGCCTTCCAAATTGCCAAAATGCTTTCCTCAGCACTGTGCCAATTTACACTCATACCAGTAATGTATGAGAGTACCTATTTTCCCAAAACTTGATCAAATTATATTTTCCAGCGTTTTGATCTTTGTCATTTTGATAGGTGAAAAATTATAATTCATGGTAGTCTTGCTTTTCTTATGAAATACATTGAACATTTTATCATATTTTTAAAAGAAAACTGAATCTCCTTTTCTGTGACCTGTCCATGTTCTTTGCCAATTTCCCCATTTGATGGTCTTCTTATTGACTTATAAGCAAACCGTATAGCAGTATAAATAGAAAATTAGCCCTTTGTCATACATGTTGCAAATCTTCTTCCCAATATGTCAGCTGACTTCTGATTTTGCTTATAGTAATTTTTTTGTGTAGAAAATTTTAATATTTTCATTTATGGCTTCTAGGTTTTATGCCATTCTTAGAAAGGCCTTTATCACTCAGACTATTTTTAAAGTTCTCCCATGTTTTCTTCCAGTGCTCTTATGGTTTCATTATTTGCATTTAGGTTCTGATCATCTAGAATTAATTTCATTATGAGTTCTTAAAAATATAAAACAGACCTCTCCAAAAAAGATATAACGGTTCAAAAAACTATTTAAATACAAGGTGTTATTATTTTGGCATTAATAGTAATGAGAGCTATAAAATATTCCGCCTTGTCCAATGACCTATCACCTAGTTCCAACTGCTATCCACAAAGAAGTACAAATGATTTCAATGTATAAATGAGCCTTGAAAGCATTGTGACCAAGTGCATGCAATGGACTTGAGCAGAAAAGTGCTGAAAAAGTATTGAATGGTCCCGAAGATCTTGTGTCCTACCCTGAAATCTTCCAAATAGAGCAAGAACATACTTGTTCTCCAAAAAGGGAGTGTTACGGGGGGGAAAAGGGGGAAAAAAAAGATTCCTCAAATGAAAGGGCCTGGATCTCAACAAAGAATAAATTCTGTTTTCTCATATCTAGCAATAGGGTTAAGGATAAAGGATATATAGTAACTTCAATTAGATACAATCTCTGACCTTAACATTTAAGAGAAAAAGAACCATACAAATTCTAGGTACTAAACACTAACTGCTGATATCAGCATTTGAAGGAGAGGGCTTTGTCAGTGAACTCCCAGTGAGTTGACCTCCTTAAGCCTCAGAATCCTCAACACTAAAATGGAGAGGATACCTGCGTTGCAGGGTTAGAGTAAGGCCTAAATGAGGTGTTTGTTAAGGGCTTACCATTGTGCCTGCTGCAAAACAGGCGGGATCAGGTAGACGGAATTGCAACGATCAGTCAATTGCTGGGCTCCAGATTCTATTTCTCAGAACTTCTGTTTCTCTCACATGGGACAGGGCACTGATCTGGCTAGGTTTACAAGACTTTCTCCACAGGGAAAGCCCTGATTCAATTCCTTTTTAAGTTAGGTTACCAGATTGCTAGCTAAACCTTTCTGTACTTCTGCTCCCTCCGGTCCACCATATGGTCTTTGCACTCACGCTCTAATCCGATCCTCATGGTAGAAGATGTCCTGGATGGGAGCTTTGGTTTTGCCATATCGCAAGCGGGGCCTTTGGAAGACCGGCTCCCTCAGCGGGGGAAAGGCATCATATATGTCAAACCAGAGGGGCTTCTCCTTCAACACCCCAGCCCGAATCAGGTCCCGCGTCCTTAAGGAGATAAGAAAAAAGAACAAAGGTCAGTCAGTTACAACAGCCTAAGCCCCTGAATCAGTCAAGCCATAGCTGGGACGTCAACGGGATCACGGAGTCGGCAAGACAGAAAAGGAAGGAGGGCAGAACAGGGGTGTTTCCCGCCTACAGTAAGATATTTCCATCCTGTAAACCAACCTAACAATGCTTGGCAGTTAAGTCCTTCTATCTTCTTACATCGGCCCCACCCCGCCCCATTCCCGTGCCGTCAAGGAAATTGCGAAGACGGCCCAGACAAATCCACCGGTCTCTTCCTCCCTTCCTCTTCCTAGAGAACTCCACTCGGAGACGGGGAGAGGTGCAATCTTGAACGTGAGAAAAGAAATTCAGAGTGAGGTCGTCAAGCACAACTGCAGGAGACGGCACAAGGGGGCCTCCCCGGGATCCGACACCGCACGCCGGAGCATGCGTAGCTCTGCTCACATCCACCCAAGAAAGGGTGGGACGCGCTAAGGGGGAGGCACCCTCGGCCCACCGCGGCTCCGAGCACGCACCGCGTGAAAATGCTGCCCACGGTTTCCAGCCGGCTCCCCGCCATGGCCCGCGCCTCTGACCCAGCACGGGTGGTGACCACCGGAACCGGAAGCGCCGGCGGCCGGCGCAAGGGCCGTAAGTTGCTAGCCGAGCCGAGGATCTCGGTGCTCACTCCGCCGCCCCTACGGGAGAACAGAGCCAGACGGAAGCAAAGGATCGGCCGAATTGCTGCGCTCCTCGTCTACTTACCAGGTTCAGCCAGGAGCACTCGAGAGCCGAGCTGAAAGGGAGGGAGGGAGCCACCGCCCGGCAGAAGCAACAAATGACCGATCAGCGGGGCAGAGGCAATAAGTGACCGATCTAGGGCAGGGGTATATTGTGGTGGGTGCTTTACCTTTTCTGGCCTGAGTCAACTCCTCTCGAGAAGGTGGGGCCGCGCGGAGGGAAGATGACGGGGAGGGAGGAGGGAAGCGCAGCCCCTGTCCTCGGGGAGCCAACCAGGTCACCAACTCTAGGCCCCGGCTGCGCCTAATCTTGGTTGGAGTCACAGACTACGAAGAAGGAAACCGAGGCCCGGGGAGGGGCAGTCACTTGCCCAGGGTCACACTGGAGCCCAAGCCCCCGTCCCGACGTCTCTTGCTGTTTAGCGCTCCCCTTGAAACCCTCGGGTCCTGGAGCGCCACCTGCATGGGTGTAATAGGGATGCTGCCGGGCGGCGTCGCTGGCTAGCTAGCTCATCTTTGAGCTTGAAAAGTAAAAGTGTCCGGATCTAATTCCAAGAAGGAAACTCAAAAATCTGGGAAAGTAATCTCTCAGAGTTACCTTTTGGCCCAATAATCATACTTCGAGTAAATTAGAAATTAAAACACAATTTCGTGAGGATATTTGTGCAAGAATTGTCATTGCAGCATTGTAGTGGCAAGAAAAAGTCCGTCCAATGGGAAATGTCTGGAAAAGTACGGTTCCTATATTCTATGGAATCCTATGCTGCTATTAAAATAAATGATTTAGATCCATATGTATTTACCTAGGTGAATGCCCGTGAGTTAAATGAAAAAAGAAGTTGCAGAGAAACGCCTTTAATGAAAAACTGACCTGTTAAAAGAAAAAGGAAATATACAACATATATTTGTGTTTGTATAAGGATAGAAACTTGTGGGAAAACACACAAGGCTGTGAACATTGGTTATCTCCAGTGAAATTGCAGGAGAGGAAGAAAGAATTTTTTCTCTATTTATCTTTCAGAGTTTGACCTGTAAAGAGTTTTTTTTTTTTTTTGAACCTTTTAATCCAATGAAATGTTTTGAATCACATGCACACAAAATGTCTCCCGGGAGCCCATTATCTTTGTCAGCAAGAAAGAACACCAAATCATCCAAGAGTTCTGCTCTGTGGGAGGCTGGTGAGGAGGAGGAAAGGAATGTGTGATGAACAGTTACTGCTTGTTGGAGTTATCTCACTGAATCCACACACCTACCTATAAGGTGGCTGTTATTATCTTCTTTATAGATTAGAAAGTGAGGCCCCAGGGGGTTAAGTAAGTAACTTATCTGATAGGTAACCACAGGGCCAAAGTTCCAGCCCAGCCTGGGCCCTTTTCAGAACACTACAGTGCCTCCTTAGCTGTGCCTCAAGCTGGAGACGGGTGGACAGAGTGACGGTCAGACAGAGTAGATCAGGCAGAACTGACCCCAGGGGCAGGGGACAGGGTGACTTGAGGGCCAGAACTGAACTGAACGGTGAGTGTCACTGCTGCCTTGAGGCCCTGTAGAATAGGAGAGAGAGAGAGAGAGAGCACACACAGCTCTGGCCAGTGGGCCAAGTGTGGAGTCTCCAGTCTTCCTATCCTAGGAAGATCTAGAAGACTTTCCTCCAGGGAGAGCAAACACGCTCGCAGCTAAATATAATCTTCCTAGGCCTCATAACAAGTTTCTAATTCTGTCCAAGTCAGAGCTAGTTGCCAGCCCAGACCACAGACACACTTCCCTTCTCCCACTTGGGGCTGCCCCTGTAGGCCACTGCAGTTACCACTAAAGAATTAGAAGGGTTTATTCTAAGTTCAGGGAGGGGAGCCAAAGACCCAAACCCTTAATGGAGGAAGAATTGCAAGGCAAGAGTTTTCTCTCTAGATCTTAGGGAAGTCCCTTCCTCTTTTGAGCCTTTAAAGTTTCCTCTCCAGTATCATATCTAATGCTTTTGCGACTGAGAGCAGAATGTTGGTGGGTTAAGTAAGGGGACTATGGCGATGTGAGAACAAGATGGATTGGGAACCCCCTGAGCCTACAACAGGAAGAGCAGACCCCAGAGAGTGCTCATTCATAATCTAGGAGGAAGCTGTCGAGTAGCTGCGGACTGGCATTAGACACTTTCTCTTTCTTCTCACCACAGCCTCTCAAGCCTGCAAGGGGCTGATAGACTCGTGCCGGTGCATTGCACCAGGAACCTGGATTATCTCATTCAGTTGTTCAGTCACCTGATGTACTGTCCTGACAATCTTACGGATAAGGAAATAGAGCTTGTAAATTCTCCAAAAGGCCACAGTCCTTCCACTATGCCATTTGGCCCCACTACGTCACACTGTAGATGTGCCCACTAATCGTGTCATCTTGGGCAAGTTATATAACTTTACAAGCCTCTCCCCATAAGTTAAAATGTGAATGGCAGAATCAGCTATCAACATGGGTTGTGCAAGAGTAAAAGTAATCGTTCTTGTAAAGCACTAATTGCAGCACACATAGTGAATCCTCATAATTTACAAGCCCAATGGCTGTTACAGCATCACTATTGCTGTTGTGTCCTGTAAACCACTGATTGTCACCTGAGACTGCAGCATTTTGATGATATTTCATAGATCACCTTATTGTTTTATTTTCTTGTTAAGTGATCCATTCGTCCACAAATATTTAAACGTCTATCTAACCCTTCGGTGAGTCCCAGAGAAGCTGACTGTCCAGTGGGGGAGATAGAGAGGCAAATTCATAATTGATGTTATATACTGAATAGCTTATAGATTGTATTAGTTTGCTAGGGCTGCAATAACAAAATACCACAGACTGAACGACTTAAACAACAGAAACTTATTTTTCTCCCAATTCTGGAGGCTAGAAGTCCAAGATCAAGGCATTGGCAGGATTGGCTTTTTCTGAGGCCTCTCTCGGTGCTTTGTAGATGGCTGTCTTCTCCCTGTGTCTTCGCAGGGTCTTTCCTTCGTACATGTCTGTCTTCTTATAACACCAGTCATATTGGACTCAGGCTCAACCTAATGACCTCATTTTAACTTAAAAAATTCTTTAAAAACTATCTCCATATACAGACATGACCTGAGTGAGGTGCTGGGGGTTAGGACTTCAGCCCTTAACACTGATCGATAAGCACTTGTGCTGAGTACCTTCCATTTGCCCATCCACATCTACGTGCACTCTCTGCCCTTTTTCACCCTGCTCTGTGCCCCAGGAGGCTGACTTTCATCGACTGCACCCTCAGCCCCTTGCCCTATGCTTCCAGTTGAGTTCCAGTTGGTGCTGCCAATGGAAGGCATCGGCAGGGGACGGAAAGGAAGGAGGAGAGTGAAGTCAGTCTCTGTTCCTCTGCCTCCCTCTCTGCACGGCATCAGGTCACCTCTTCGCACAGCTCTCTCACCAGAGATTCCAGTCACTGTTCTTTCCCTTGCCCTTTGGGCTTAGACACAGCAAACCATGCCCCTCTGTTACTGGCCTTGAGGTGTAGGCCATCTCTTGTGGCTTCCGTACACTCAGCCCACATCTTTGTAACTAATTTCCTTAAATAAAGCCCAAGAGTTTGTCAGACAAAAAGAGGAAAAGCACCCCCAATAGGAGAACAACTTTTTAAGTGAAAATCCCAGCATATTGATGAAATCATTACTCCTGCTATTCACCTTTGGCAGAGAGCGAGGATCAGGGGGCAATCAGCTGTTGATTTAAAAGAGGAGGAAAGTAATAACATATAGTCAATGCATAGTACAAGGAGCAGGAGGACAGAGGGCAAGGAGGGAGGTGTTCAAGGAGGTGGGAGTGCCATCTCTCGCCTCCAGGCTCTTGTGTGCACTTACTCAGCCAGACTGGATGAATGTGCCCCCAGGACCTACTCCCTCCCTCCGTAATCTTATCTCCCTCAAAATTTGGTGTAGTAACTGTTTACTTGTCTGAGTCTGTCTAACTGAGCCTCTTGAGGGCAGGAACCAGGGCTCTGTCTGCCTCCCACACCCAGCCTGGTGCTCGGCCCAGAGCTGGCTTTTAGAAAGAGTTTTCTAGTGAACAAAGCCAGTTTAGGACAAATTAGGACACAGCCATCTCATCCCTCCTTTGCTGCCTGCTCATATCCAGCCCTCCTTCCTGAAGGCCTTCCCCCAGGTACACCCCTAGGGAAAAAGCTGTGGTCATTTCCAGTTCTGGCTGTCCTCTGTGCCTCACTGACGGATTGATTCCCTTTTACAAACATCTGGGCCTCGGCTTTGTCATCTGTAAAATGGGCATAATCGTAGCACCCACCATATAGCTTTGTTGTCAGGAGTCAGTGGGCTTATACCTGAAGAGTACTCAGAACAGGGCTAGTGTAGTAACAGTGTAGTAACTGTATAGTAACAGTCTAGTAAGTATAGTAACTGTAGTAATCGTGGAGTAACTGCTCAGTAAACAGGAGTAATGATAATGATTTCTGACCATTCCATACTTAAGAACAATAAGTCACAATGTATTGAATCACGCCTACAATTAAATCATACCTAACAATTTGCAAGGCATTTTCATGGGGCTCCCCATTCACTTCTTCAGCAGACAGCAGCTCAGCCCCCAAGGAGAATCAAGTTCTGGCAAAGGAAAGAGAAGCACTTTACACCTATACCTGCCCTGAGAGGTCTGTATGCCAGGTAGGCCTGGAGTAACACTCTGGTCTTTTATTATTGGGAAATGCAGATTCTGACTCCATAGGTCTGGAGTGAGGCCTAAAACTCTGCATTTCTAACGAGCTTCCAGATTGATGCCAACAACCACAGATCACACTTTGAATAGCAAGGTTATAGCAAAGCAGGTTCGTGCTGAGTTTGTACTGAGTTTCACAGCACCTCACTTCAGAGTCCCTAGAATAATCCTCTTGACCTGATAAGAAATTGTGACCCTTTACTCTCTAGAAATGATAGGCAGGGTGAATGCTGGTTTTGTGGGGCCTAACATTTATATAACCTTAGTGGACATTTTAAGAAAAAAAGTGCAAAAAATGTCTCTGTTTTGCAAATTTTATAAAACATGTCCCTCTGGCCTTGGGCCAAGCAGGTGCTCACTTTCTCCTGGGAAAATGGCGATTGGCCTCTCAGTGGCCAGCGACTGCCATTTCTGAGATAACCACCAGGTGGCAGTAGATTTACACGGCCCCCTTCAACCCCTTCCTTGTCTCCAGAAATTTCCAAATCTTCCTCCATCCAGCTGGCCCAGCCAGCTAATCCAACAAATTAATCTAGGCTGTGATAATGGACAAAAGGAGTTCATGTGCTTCTCTCTCAGTAGAATATTTGCTGTTTAGTGGAAATACTAAGAGATTGTTTTTAAAACCATTTAAAGAATGCTAATAGGTGAGTTCCAGGCATACTGTTGGATCATGTATCATTACGGTGATGTGTTTTAGAAGGTGGCCTTTTCTGAGCTCCCATCTATGCAGGGGTTCTGGGTCTTACCACTTGTTTTCCCCACCCCAATATATAGCTTGGTGTTTAGGCACCAGTTCTAGTGTTCAGCTGCCTGGGTTCAAATCCAGGTACCACCACTTACTGAGGGTGATGTTGAGTAAGGACCTTAACGATTCTGTGCCTCGGTTTTCTAATATGTGAAATGGGAATAATAATACTAATTTCATACAATAGTTGTGGGAAATAGGTAAAATAACATTTACTGCACCCCAGAAAAGTGACTAGCATACAGTAAGCACTCACAAGCAGCTTTCGTCTTTGTCACCCCACACCTAACCTACCTTCTTCAAACCAAGTTCTTTTGTCTTTCCTTCAGTGTTAACCCCCTGTCAGCTGCCTGTTCATGAGAACAGAGGGAGGATTGAGACCCAGTATGGTAATAACCAGGCTAGTTCTTCTGGATACAGCATTCTGCAGACCCATGCCATCTTCTCAAGTTAGGGAGGGGCACTGCCTGGACCGGACTCCAGATAGCCCGGCTCAGCATTCTTGCAGGAGTTAAATATGTGAGTATCACCTTATAAATACTAAGAGCCCAGGATTTGCAGAGGAGCATGGTGTATGAGGGTAGATGGCTAGGATGGTTATCTGGCCCAGCCCAACTCCTTCCTGGGTCCTATACACACTGTTCAACAGGGAGGGACTCGTCATGGAGAAAGGTCTTCATCTTCTGCACACCTGTTGGACCCGGTAATATTTGCCTTCTCTCCCCACACCCTCCTCTCTGGTTCCAGTCACCGTCAGTCTCATCTATACAAATAGGCAAAATAGTGACTGTTTCTCAAACTTTGCCACATGTTAGAATCACCTAAGGAGCATTTACAATCTGATTTCCAGGCTAAATCCCAAACCAATTAAACCAGAATCTCTGGGAACAGGACCTCAAGCATCAGAGATGATTCCAGTGTACAGCAGTTTGAGAACCAGTGTTCTACTGTTTCTCAAACCTTCATGTCCATACAAGTCATCTGACAAGCTCCCCGATGATACAGTTGCTGCTGGTCCACAGACCGAACTTTGAGTAGCAAGGCTGTAGAACTGTGATTGTCACACATGAGCAGATACCAGAACCTTCTGGAGGGCTTGTTAAAATACACCCCGGGTTCAGATGCAGGAGATCTAGGATGGGGCCCGACAACATTCATTTCTAATGAGCTCCCAGGTAATTGTCAGTGCTGCTGTCCACGGAGCACACTGAGGAGCAGGGGTAGAGAGGAGGGAACACAGGTTTTAGTGTCAGGCAGCCCTGGGCCATTTTCTGGCTTCACACCTTGCCAACTCTGTGATCTTGTATAAGTTACTTAACCTTTCTGAATTGTCATAGCATCATCTGCAAAGTAGCCATTATTGGGCAAGATTAATTCAGCTAATATGAAACACCTAACAGACTGTTTTGTGTGCTGGTCCTCAATGCCTTGACTGCAAACCTGAATTACTGGAGGAGCTTTAAAAGAAACCAACCATGGTTATTGATTTAATTAATCGGGGTCCTGAGCATCAGGATTTTTTTTTTTTTTCAAGCTACTGAGGTTATTCTACCGTGAGGCCAGTACTAGGTACCAGCCTGGCACCGTGGCTCCCAAACTTTAGTTCAGTGGTCTCCAACCTTTTTGGCACCAGGGACCGGTGCTCCTATGAAAATCTAATGCCTAATGATCTGAGGGGAGGCGGTGATGCTAGCGCTGGGGAGCGGCTGCAAACAGATGAAGCTTCGCTCGCCCATCCACCCGCTCACTTCCTGCTGTGCAGCCTGTTTCTTAACAGCGCCCTCAGGGCCCAATACCAGTCCAAGGCCAGGGGGTTGGGGACCCCTGGGTTAGAGGATAATCCTGATTTTCCCAGATCCAAACCGCATGTCTGGAACATCACCAGCTGTCTCAGGTATGCCAATTTATAAGCTGACCTCGGTCAAACTGGGGGTGTGAGGACAACTTCTTTGTAGGGAGGATGGGAGGAACCTGCGTGTTTGTCCTAAAGGAGAGAGTCAGGCCACTGAGCTCAAACCTGGCATCTGGGGGAAGAGTGGTAGCCTTGGCCTGGGTGACCCGGAGCCCAGAATCAAGATGTGTGGGTGGAACCAACAAGGAGGCCTTGGGATTCAACACCAGAACTTTCGACCTTGAGAACTGCCCTATGTGAAAAGGGCACCAGCTTCCTCTCTTGGCAATGAGTTCCCTGGTTTGGGAGGTAGTCCAGCTGAGCTGGGGAGTAGGGGAAAACTAGAGACATTTGAACTGGGAAATCTCTGCGGGCCTCTGAAGTCTGAGATTGCACATCCATCCAGCCTCCAGTCCGTTACTCCAGAAGCCTTCTGTTTATTTAGGGAGGTGACCTGCTGGAGCTTTCGCAAGGCTGACTTTCCTGTCGGTGTTTCCTTTGCCTATCAGCAAGCAGTTTGTTTTCCTAGGGTAAACAGGAAGGCGACCATGCTGAGCAAAGCCAGCAGGTCAGCAGGGTGGCGGAGGGGGCAGCAGGTGTCACCTTCTGAGTGCATTGCTGAGAGGGCTGGGCCCTTGGGCGTCACATGCTGCGGTTTAGGGGGGGCGGGGGAGGCAGGTGGCTCACGGGTTAGACGCGGGGCTCGAGGGGCCAAAACCCTGCCCAGGGGAGAGAAGAGAGAACAGAGAACGTCCAGCCCATGCCGCCGGCCACATCAGAGCACCAAGAGAACACCAGGTCTTTATTACAGGAATTCCTATGAAACAGCCCCAAGAAAAAAACCCACACATAAGAGAGAAAAAAAAAAAAAAAACCACTAACAAAGCAACACACAGACATGGGGCTGGGACTTCCCCGCGGTGCGCCCGGTTCAGGGCCACAGCCCAGAGGCCCCCCCACCTCTAACCCTGAGGGTCAGACCCTGCTGGAGCTTGGGCTGAGGGCCCGGGGGGCTCTTCGGAGGCACAGCCTGGCCGCAGGGCACAGCGGAGGGCAGCAGGTCCCCGGCTACAGCGCCCCCCGCGCGCTTCCAAACTTGGTCACGCGCAGAGGCGGTAGCGCATCCGACCCCTCCCGCCTGGGTCCGGCCAGGCGGTCCGCCAGCACCGCGTGGGGCGGGGGTGGGAAGAGGTGCAATGGCAGTGTCGCCTCGCCGGCCTGAGCGCCCTCCACGCCCTCATTATGCCGGGGTGACTTGAGGCCACCAGGGCCCAGCCAAGGCTTGGTTCCCACTCTCAGCCCAGCGGTTGGGCTGGTTCCACACTCCGGGGGCGGGGCGGGGCGGGGCGGGAGAGCACCGAAGCCTCGGGCTGCTCAGGCTCACAGGGTCTCCAGAGAGGTCAGCATGTTCCCATCCCGATGGTGCGGCCAGAGAGACTAGGCAGTCTCTCTCCCATTGGCAGTGGTTGGTGCCAGGTAAGGTTTGTAGAACCGGAGTCTCCTCTTGACCATTCACCTACTCGCTCTTGGCAAGGGGTACCCAAGAAGCCCTTCTGGCCCGGGTGCTCCCACCCAGGCTGGCAGCCTCTTCACCTTGTTCCTCAGTCCTGTACCTTCTCAAGGGTCACTTCAGAACCCGCTGCTGTATACCCTTGGCTATAGTAGATCTTCTAGTCCAGCTCAGGATTCAGAGCCCCTTTGAGATCCCACTGTTGAGACTGCAGGGCCCCATCCCAAACTGGCTTTTGTCTTCTATGAAAGTACAGACTACCCTTGCCTAGCCAGAGTCCTCCAGCTCCGGGGGGGTGGGCCACCCTCCCCATCCCTGCTGGGGGCCATGCCAGCCCCTAACAAAGGCAGCCTAAGGGGCTGTGCAGGTCGGCAGCCCCAGGAAAAAGGTGAGATGCAGGAGGCCATGGAAATAAACTCAAGGTGCCCAGCAGGGAGCTGGGGACCGGGGTAGGGGATCAGGGTTTTTTTGTTTGTTTTGTTTATAAGAAGAGAAGTTGGATCCTGCATTTCCACCCCTTACCCATAGAACATCCTGGCTACAAAAGAGGCCCTGGTTGGCTGTTGCACCCCAACCCCAGGTCCTTCCTCCAATCACAGCAACTCCGAAGTTCTAAGTCCCATGGAAAGTGGCAGTGGCTGGGCTGGACTGTGGCCGGAGAATCACTGGGCCTTGGTACTCGAGCACCATCTGTCTGGCTGCAGCTGGGCTCTTCAACTGGGGGCCAGTTTTGCTCTCTGGCTGCCTCCACCATGTCAGATCATCTCCAGCGAGGAGGAGCTGCTGGCATCTGGTAAGGAAAAGGGATGGGAGGAGTCTTTTTCAACGGAGCTCGGTGGTCTTTCATCACTGGTTTCTAGAGAGATGGTTTTGGGCAGAAGCTACCAAAGACAGGAGACTCTCTCCTTCCTCCTGGGACTCTGTGTCAGCCTTGGAATTCTGCCTGGGGGCACACGCACATGCACACACACACGCACACGCACACGCGCACACACACACATTCTAAGCTCCTAGAAATGTTTCAACTTGCAGAACAGCAGGGACTCTGGCAGCTAGAGATGGAGTGGAGGGCTGGAATTCTGGTGGAAGCTGCTGGGTGGGAAAGGGTGAGAGGGAGGGACGTACCCAGCCCATTCTGTGATACAGTAGTAGCTCAGGTGAGCCAGACTCAAGGCACCTGTGGTGGCAGAAAAGTAAATTGGGACTAGAATTTGGTGGGCCCCACTCACCAGCGTGAGAAGTTCTTAAGCCTTTAGTACTCAGAAGACCCACTCAGACAGCAAGAGAAATGGAAGCAAAGTTTTTAGGTGATGGGGTGAACGGAATAGGGGCAGTGAAGAGCCTAGGGGCTATTAACCAGGTGGTGAGAGTCTACCAGGGCGGTGATGAAAGAAATGAGAAATGAAATGGGGAAGTCAGGAGGAAAGACCGTCTGGCCATCAGTGAGTTGAAATCCAGGGCTAGAAAGACAATCATGGGCACAGCTGGGGATACGGAGCAGGCAGGGAGGACTGACTGAGGTGGAGATTCAGATTTTGGAGCCAACTGCACAAAATGATTGCTCAGTGCCAGAGAGAGTAAGGAGCGAGAAGACGGCAAGGAACATCGAGGGCGGAGCTACCTGGGGTTGAGGGAATGGGAGGAGCAACAAGAACCTGAAAAGCACCCAGAGAATAAAGACTTGAGAGAAAGAAAGTCCAGGATTCTGGGGCCACAGGAGCCAAGGGGAGGCAGTTTCAAGAAAGATGATGGGCACGGCGTGCAGGAGAGAGCACCAGAGGACAGAACGGGAAAAGGCCCTGGACCTGGCAGGTGACATTCTCGAGTCAGTCTGAGGGTGGCAGGAGGGACTGCCAGCCTGCAAATGGGTGAAACTTTTTTTGCAAGTTGGGTGATGAAGGAAAATGTTGAGGTCTCTTGGTTTTAAAGATGGGGTGGAGGAGGAGGATGTAGGTAGACTTGAGAAAGGAGCTAGAAAGGGAAAACCCGGAAGACTCAGGAGAGAAATAAATAATGGGCAAGGTCATGATGCAGGGGTAGCTTTGGACTGGACACATTGTCCCTGAGGATCCACAGGATAGAGATGGCAGCAACGCTGAATGGGAGTGAGGGCCCTTCCCCCGGCTGGCTTTACTTGAGCTTTCCAGAGAAGTGGGAAGTGTGGGTGCAACTCCATGGGTGAAGAAAGCCTGAGCACGAAAGGAGTCTGGATGTGCCTGGTGGCGGATGTGGTGAAGAGTCAACTAGAGGTGATGTGAAGGCCAGCCACAGAGGCTAAGGGGAGCGGGCACTTGGTTTACCTCACCTCCATGACAACTGTCTTCAGGGTAGCAAGTATTTCTTTACAGTCTGAAACAGGGCCATACCTGCCACATCGTCAGCTCAATACAGCCTTGTAGATGCTGACCACTGGGACCAGGACAACAGTTGCGGGGAGGGCAGGCAGGCAGCTTCCTGATGGGGGGAGGGGCTGAAAGAGTGACAGGAGTAACCGAGTCCTGGAGGAGGTGTTGACATTCCCTGTTTTCTCCCCCAGGGGTGTTCAGGAAGAGAGGAGGAAAAGCAGCCTGGGGGCCAGGGCTCCAGCCAGAAACAGAGCTGCCCTGAAAGGGGCAGTTTTTCTCTTCCGGTTGTGGCAGATCCTGCACCGCCCAACCCAGGCAGGCAGTGGGAGAGTCCTGTGTGTGCTCGGCTGGGGTGAGGCCATCTCGGCTTTTCTTAAATCGTTCCTCATAGTGGGCTGTGTGTGTCCTGGACTGTTTTCTCAATGAGGCTGTAAACTATTCAGGGTGTAGGCTGATTTTTTTTCCTGTTCTCAGCATCTGGCTTAGGTCGGTGTGATTATCTTTTGTCAAATGAATGAATAACCAAGAAAAAGAAACGCAGAAGACTAGTTCCCATGCAGAAGCCCAGGTCCCCTGCCACAGCGATGAGGGAAGAAACCCAGAGCCTGCACTATCCAGTCTCCTGAGCCCAATGCCTCTGGACCCCTGGGAAGACAGGTGGGATGTGGGGAGTGGCAGCCCCAGCCTTGGACAGTCCCTGGGCAGCGGTGGCTCCAGGCCTTACCTCTTACTGTCCTTCCCTTAGGGCTTCCTCCACCTTGGACACCTCCTGCCGCCTTCCCCGGAAGTCTTCATCTGAAAAGCAGAGGGAAGCTGCCTCATCCTCCACCCTGCAGGGCTACGCTCAGACAAGTCCCCCAGGCTGGGCAAGAGAGCGTCCTTGTTTGCTCCGGCACATGCTGATCCCTGGGGGGCGACGTGTGGGTCTGGTGAGAAGGCAGCAGGGCACGGTACAAGGTTAGGACACCTGACCGCCAGCCTGTCTCCATGACTGAGCTCCAAGACCTCGGACACGTTCCTCCCTCAGTTTCCTCACCTATGAAGTGGGATGGGGAATTTGGACTACCCAGATGACCTCCAAGGCCCTCCAAGCCCTTGTTTGTGGATATCTCCTGACCACAGAAGGGTTATCTGCTCTGAGGCATAGGGATCAGGGCTCGGCTACAGGCCTGACAAGTTCTGAGGCAGCATCTTCTGGCCCATGTGGCCTTTGGGAGGGACTGGATAAATGAACGCTGAAAGGCCTCTGGGCCCAAAAACTGAACCTGCCCCAAGCTTGTTCTCAAGTTGAGGTCCCTCTGTGTAGGTAGGCCCGTCTGCCCCCGCACACCCCAGAGAAGAGAATATTCCCCAGAAAAAAACACCTGGCACTTTATGCTGCAGGTGGAGATCTTGTCTGCCCCCTCACACCGCAGAGAAGAGAATATTCCCCAGAAAAAACACCGGGCACTTTATGCTGCAGGTGGAGATCTAGGTAGAGGTGCAGCTGGGGCTCCCTTTCAGGAGTGGAAGGAAGGGAGAGGCAATATGGTCCAAGTGGAAGGGCCCATTTCTTTGGGTCACCTGCCCACCAACCCTTGATGTGTCCCCCAGGCTGGGTCCACCATGAAACACTCAGGCCCTCCTCTTGCAGGGCCACTGACCACAGGCAACTTAGAACTCCAGCTTCCCCACCCTCCATGCCTCACCACAAGTGTGGCCCTCCACGTCGTCCAGGAGATTGGCAGTTGATGCAGCAGCCCCCAGCCTACCCAGCCGTTCAGGAAAACTGATGAGTGGGCACCGCCATCGTCCTCCCACTCCCTGTCCCTAGCCCTCCACCACCCACTCCAAGCTCAGGAGGCTTCTACCACACCAGCCTTATCCCCCCAACACTCCTCAGTACCTCACCCAGGCTCCTTTCCTTGGAGTCACCTGAGCAGCCAGGCCCTATCAGCCAGCTCCCATCCTGGGGACAGAGGAGTGACTTTCTCCCTGTTCTTTGGCTGTTCAGCTTCTCATGTCCTGGGCCCTGTCTGACAAGCAAGGATGGGAGCCTGGATGATTAAAAATATGGAAAACCTTATTTTTACTCAAGGGACTGAAAGTGAGAAGCCAGGGCCAACATGCTTTATATGAGGAGGCAGAAAGATCTGAGGGTCAGTTCAGTTAGAGAAATTAGAGAAAGGTTTGCTGAATTCAAAGGAAGAACCAAGTTTTCTCCCAAGATGCAGATTACTCCAGACAAAAAGTACAAATGCTGTAGGACAACTTCTGAGCCTGCAGCAGGAAGACGTCAGATGCTGGCCTTCTCCCCAAGCCTGGTCATGGTGGTCAAGACTGGAACGGAGAGATGGGACAGCAGACTGGCAGCAGGGCTCATGGAGAAAGGAGGGCCACAGACCCAGGCCCCACTCTTGGAGGAGGGTATAGCCTTGGGGAGCCCAGCCCAGGGTCTCAGTGTGCCCTTAGCACCGACTGCCCCCACCCAGTGCCAGGCCAGAAAGGATACGACTGATGCTTCAACAAGTGTTTCCTCTTTGACTTCCTCATCTTGGTTTTCTCTGAGAAGGCCCTGGCCAGTTCAAACAGCTTCCTCCGGGTGGCTGGGAGCAGAGAGACTTGTAAGCCAGCAGCCAGAGCACCAGATAGCTGCCCACCAGGGCTCAGGAGGAGGCTGGGGCAGGCCCCCACCCCCACCAGGGCTGGAGGCAGGTGGGCGGGCTGGTGTGAGAGCCCAGGGAGCCAGAGAGGTGATGACAGGCTGGTGCCCTGGGGGAGTGAAGCTGCCGTCCTGGGTTGGCCTGCAGGGGCAGCACAGGCCACTGCAAACCAGACCAGGGATAGCTGGCAGCCCGAGATCCGGGTACTCCTCAGCTGAGACAAACAGCAGTGCATCTTGGCTTTCTTTCCCGCCGCCTACCTCCACCCGCCTTGCCACCTCCAGAGATGGTTCTGGGATTTCCGTGACTAATCCCAGATTTTCCCTGAAATGGAGCCTGAAAGGATAGCAGCCTCATTCACACATGGTTCTGTGTCTGTGGGATGGGGAGGGGAAGGCAAGTACCGGCTGGCAGGATTTTGTGGGAAGAGGTCATCAACCATGCAGGCCTCCCACCTGCAGAAAGTAGGTTTAGCAATAGCCCCCCCACTCAGTCAGGCCCAGCCAGGCCCCCTCAAGCCATAGAGAACATGAACGTTAAAACTCGGGGGAGGGAGGTATAGCACGTCATTTTTCTGCAGACAGCTGGCTCAAGAGGATTTAAAACTTAATTTGTATCCAGACTCAGCTGCACAGAGAAATGAGGCAAGAAGGCTGAGGGAGGTAGCCTGCGATTAAAATGTCACTTCGGTTCACCAAGAGTCAACTGCATTAAAAATTCTGGGTGGCTCCCTCCCTCCCATGGGGCCACAGGGCCTGTCTTAGAAGAGCTGGAAGGGGGACATGCGCTGGACTCACATTTTCCCATGTGTTTCAACTTGTCCCTGAATAAGGCATCTTCAGACACAGTGGAGTTGTTGTCACTGACTCCTGGAAGGAGGAGACACTTCTGAGGGCCAGCCAGAGAGGAACAGTGGCTGCCCAAGGCCCCGGGGAGGCGGGTTGGGGCTACCCTGAAGGACAGGGGTTCAGCCCAACCCTGCTATTTGAGGAAGGAGGCGAAGAGCAGGTTTCTTCTGTAACTAGGAAACAGCTTAGAGCAAGGACGACTCTTGTGGTTCAAAGAACGTGTCTTTCCCCACCCGCGCCTGGCTTTCCTCCTCTGTAAAAGGAGGGACAGTCCTGTGGCCTGCTGTATGTGACGAGAACCTGCTCTCAACTGTCTGCTTCTCGGACCAACTCCACTTTCGTGAAGTCACGTTGGTAGCTTGAAATCAGCTTTGGCTGGGGTTTTTTACACCATACAAGTCATTAGACACTGCACCTGGCCTTATCCTGCAACCCAGCTGGCTGCTAAACATTCACCAGCAAGTGGTCTGCCTGCCTGCGTCCCCCGGGGTGTTAGAGGTAATGAGGTAACGGAAGGAAGGTGTGGGGCACAGAGGCATTCATCCGTGATGGCTCCTGTGCCCTTCTCCCCAGGGTCAGCCCCATCCATTATTCCCCCCAGACGTGGAGTTTCTGAATCATTAGACAATGAATAGGAATGAGAATGGGGTTGGTACCAATGTCAGAACCCAGTTGGCCACCCAGAGTCTCCCCACTTACTCGGCACCCACTTGGGTTTCTTACTGCCCTTCTAAAGCCCGTGCTGTCTACCCTGCAGCTTGGCTAATCCCGAGTCACCTTGTTTGCTAAGTCCACTGTGAGTCATTCTGATCCATCTCAGCAGCCCTGGTATCTATAGTTAATTCAGGATCAAGGACAGAGGCTGCCGTTAAAACCCTCAGCTGCACATCTGGTAGGGCCTAAGCTCCCAGCCTATTGCTTATGAATCAGTTCCATAGGATTTTCTCTCTTCGAGCTGGGACAGCTGAGCTCCCCATCCTTCTGCTCCCCAGTCCCCTCTCCACTGTGTGATATAAGGTCTGTTTCAGGCAGAAGCTGCTGATTCTGTCTCTGAGGAGGGCAGCCTGTGTGCGTATGTGGAGGGCTCTGGCTGATGAGGGGCCACTATGCCACACATATAGGCAGAGTCCAGGTGTCGAGTATTGAACCAGGGCCTCTGGGCCTCTCTGCCCCATGTTCCCAGCTTGACCCTCGTCCATGCATCCCAGCAAACTCCTGTCCACCCCTGGCCTTCCTTCAGCTGGTTGAGGCCCCTGGAGAGGTCTGGCCCTCTCTTGAGGCAACTCTTGCTTCTCACTATCTTGTACATGAAGCTTAAAATTCTCTTCCTCCAATACAAGGGCCGGGCCTGGCTCACAGCAGATTTTCCCCGGCTACTGAATGTGAGCGAATGAGTGATTCCTTCCCAGACGGATCCTGCCCCGCTCCTCGCCACGAGCTTGCTGTATTCAACAAGTGTGTCAGCTTTGCTGGTCTGCTCTACTGTTTCTTGGATATATTTCCATAAGCTCCCCTGGGGCCAAGACCAAACCTCATAAGTCTCTAAGGCCTCCTTCTTTCCCCCATTCTCACATGGTACATTATGTGCTGTGGCATGCCCTCTTCTTGCCAAAGCTCCAGGCACCTCTGAGGAGTTCAGCCAGCCTATTAGCCAACCCCAGCTTGGGCTCCAGCAGCCGCTGGATTGGTAAGAACCCAGGGCTGCTAAGTAGAGGAGCCATCTCATTCCACGGTGAGCGCAGTGGTGGAAGCACAACCCTCCCCACCAGCCCATCTCCTCACTCTACCCTCAACTCCAAGAACACAAAGCAGGGCTTGGGTATGAGCCCCTGTACCCTCCAGGCCTCTCTCCCAGGAAGGCAAGGTTACCTGGAGCGGGAGAAGGAAAGCCAAAGTCACTTCCCACAGCCACACTGCTTGATTTAGATTTCTGGGACTCGTATTTCAATCGATCTGGAAAAGGACCACATACCAGTCAGGGAAGGTAGCGCTTGGGCTGAGATGCAGGTGGTTGTTGGAGGCGAAACCCCCAGACATGCATACGAGTACACACAAAGTGTCTGCACACACAATGTCTGCTGGCTCTCAAAGAACCAGCGACCACAGAAACACCTTCCCTGACAAGCACTGGAATGGAAGAATGTCAGAATTAGAAGGACTCTGAGTGATCATATAGTCCAACCCCTTCATTTAAAAGGAGAGGCCCCAAGACCCCCAGTACCTTTGCTCCAGTACCTTTGCTACAGAGCTGGGGCTAACCTTGGGCCTCTGTCTCAGCTCAGCCTTCTCCCTGTACTTCTTGCCCCTCCCACGTGACAAGCTGTCAGTCTCTCTCTCTCTCTCTCATGCACACACACACACACACACACACACACACACACACACACACACACACACACACGTAGCCACTGTGACCAGCACAAGACAGATGTCCCACAGCCCTCTTACAGTACTCTACCTCAAACGCACTCCAGCCCTGAAGGGGAAAGGCGGCCAGGCTGGAGAGCAGGGTCCCCGGGCCAAAGACAATCTAAACACCCCCAAAACTCAAGAACCCCTGCTCTAATGTCCTCCACTCAGCCAGGCTCCTTCTCTGACACCTATGGACCCAGTCACTCTGCTCCTGGAGCTCCAGACACAAGGCCAGTGCCTGGCATAGAGCAGATGTGTGTGTGTTTTGGCGGGCGGGGGGGGGGGGGGTGGGTAGGAGAGGGCCCAAGAGGGCACACCTTTCTTCCCGGTGATTCAGGTCTCCGTTGGCTCCCACAAGGACAAGGTGGTAAGGGCCATGTCTCAGCAGTTCAGAGACCTCCACTCCCCTGGCCTCTAGCTCCCTGCCTCTCCTGACCCCAAAGGCTATAGCCAACATCAGTTCCATTATTCAGCCATGGAGAAGTGGCCACAGGGTCCCCACCCAGTGTACCACCTTTCTCCAGGGCTAGAAGGAAGTCGCGATTGCGTTGCAGCTCCTTCATGAACTCCTCGTTCTGCAGGAAGAGCGCAATCCTCTCATCCTCCAGGTACTGCTTCCAGCGGCTCTCCTGGTCCCGGGTGCCAGGCCCAGCCACAGGGGGCAGGCCGCCAGCTCCACTCCTGGGCTTGGAACCCCCAGGGTTGCCCTGAGGAGGGGAGCGAGCATGTTGAATGCCTACTCACAAGGGCACATGTTGTACAAACATCCATGCACATGTAGGGGTACACATGTCCTCTCCCAGAATCCTCCAGCCACATCCTGGGCCCTGAGCCTCCTTTCAAGATCTAGTCATAGGCCAAAATCCAACTGAACGGGCCAGATCCCTCTCTACTGAGGAAGCAGCAAGGGCTTAAAAACGACTTTTCCTCCCCCTTGGACCACCCTATCCCTTTATTTACAACCTGAATAGTCCTGAAAAGTAATCTGCAAACTGCTCAAGAGCCTACACAAGGATTCCCAAACTCGAAACTCTCCCTGCACCAGCTTCATCAGGGTGAGACCCCCACCCTGTGCGAGAGCCCCTTGGGATACGCTAACATCTGGGGAGAAGCTACGTCTGGCCCTTTCCCAGGAGAGGGAAGGAAGGTGCTCTGGCCCTCTGCCACTGGCTGCCCACATGCCCACCTCTCTCAAGCCTGGGGTGGTGGCTACAGCCAGAGTATCCTCAGAGCTGTCACCTTCCCTGGGTGGAACAGGAAATCTCCAGACCCGGACAGGAAATGAGGCTTTTGGTTCAGCATTCTGTCCCTACAAACCCAGGGTAACAGAAATAGCTTAGCCGGGACTTAAACATCAGGAAGTGAAACTGGCTGGCACAAACTCTGTGGGCAAGTGGAGATGTTGCACAGGCAGGTCGGAGGCATCCTCCGTTACCTGTATGCTGTCCAGCTGCTGGGGCAGGATGCGGAGAAAGTCATCGGGGAGGTTGCCCAGCAGTGGTGGGTTCCAGTTCCGATAGCGCCTCTGGCTGGAGGGGGGCGCAGAGCCCAGCACATCAATGCTGGAGGGCGAAAAGTGACAAGAGGAGGGAACCGTCAGGCCCAAACACAGGTGTCCTGGCCCATCACGCCAGGATCCTGCTCAGAATGGCATTCCTTCTGCTCATGCCCTCCACTGCTTCCAGCACAAAGGCCCAGGGCTCTAGCTCATTTTCTTCACCAGGCCTTGGCTAACCCCCACCTCTAGCCCCGGGCATGGGTTCTCGATGCACCAGAAGTTCACTGCTCTCCAACCACTCAGTGCCATTGAGGTCTCTAGGCCTAGAGAGCTCTCTGATCATGGCACTCAGGTTGGGTGTTGTGGATTTAGATGATGTTTACGAACACCCTCTAAAGACAGCAGGGGTCGTGTCCTTTCATGCTTCTGTCCCTAGTACCTAGCACAGTACGGGCTCACGGCTGCTGAGTAATAAGTATGCTCCAAATTAACAAGCACATAAGCTACTAACAGCCCGGTCTGCCTGAATGCTGGCTTGCTTGGATAAGGGGATATTGGAAGGCCAGGATCCTCAGAGAGTAGAATATATTTAAGTTCTTGTTCTGATGCAGCCGCAAGCCAGCAGGGTGGTCTTGGGTGAGCCCCTGCCTCGCTGCCAAGGCAGGTGGGAGCCCCTCATGAGGCTGTCTTGAACAATGTTCTGAAAAGGCACATTGAGATGTGGGAGCGGAAGGGTTCTTGTTCTGGGGGCACTCAGTTCTGCTCTTTATAGGCAAGGTACCTTTCTTCATAGGTAAGGTGCCTGGTGTGAGGTCTGTGCCTTGGCAGAGGCCAACAACGAGGAGGGAAGGAGAGGAAGAGAAGAGGTAGCACCCGCCCTCCCTGACCCCAGGCTCCTGCTCTGCCGCCTTGAGCCCGAGGGCAGCCTGGGCCCAAGCCAGGAGCTCCCCACAGCTCCTCAGCAGCCTGCAGCGTGGCAACCGCAGGACACGTGTTCTGCTGAATCAGGGAAGTGACACGCACAGAAGGCAGCCGAGGCCTGGGGGCGGTGGGGGCCACTCTGGCTTTGGAGCCTGGCTTTGATTTGGTCTCCAGCTCCAGGAATCCCGCCGCCCCCTCACTGGAGGAGAGCTTTTCCGGCTGGGCTGCTGCTGCCTGTGGAAATAACTTCCTTTCCTTTTCTATTTTGGGCGGGCGGCCTCGCGGGGGCGCGGTGGGGGGGGGCAGCAGACAGGATAACAAGCTGCTAAGTGCATGGTGGTAGCAGCACACGCAGACTGGAGCCAAGGGAACCCCGGCACGCCTCGTCCACCCTCTCGCTGTGCAGATGAGGGGATGGTCCAGAGCAGAGTCTGCATCACAACCCAGGACCTGATTCCTAGGCGGCTTTCTCTCCACATCACTCTGCCACCTCCTGTCACTGTTGGAGGCTTCATTTTTCCCAAGGGCCTGAGAGGCAGGGGAGAGGCTCCCCCATCTCTCAGGGACCCTAAGACTACCTTTAGTGAGTTCAAGCAGAGAGAAAGCCTCCCCAAGGTCACCAGCCTTTCTTGGGCTTCAAGGCCTTCATCTGGGGGATGGGTATCCACCCCCCCGTAGCTACACCTCACCGTGGAGAGCCCTGGAGTCACATTTGGACCCTTCTAGCCACCTAACTCCGAACCCAAGAGGGGAGGGGGACAAGGAGCAGGAGCCCCATCCTCGGCCGAGTTTCCCTTGCTTCTGGGCCTGAGTCCTCGAGGAAGGGCAGGCCCAGCCCCCTCTGGGCCCCTTGCCCTGGCACCAGCGAAGATGAGGTCAGCCCGCAGCTGCGAGAGACAGGGGGGCCCTGGGCCCAGTCAGCCCAGGCAACTCCATTGTGTTTGGAACGGAATGTCAGAAATGAGCCGAGAGGCAAATAAAAAACTTCCAAGGCTGTAATTTCAATGGAAAAACAGCAGGTGGCCTGTGCGGAGGGGTGCCTCTGAGCTTCAGAGCTGGTCTTTCATTCAGGAGACAGAGGTCAGGACCGGCTGGGGGAGGGGAGAAGGAGAGAGACGACTGGGGAGGCTCTCTTGGCCCAGAGCCTACCCAGAGACCCCAACACTAGAACTTCATACCCCATCAGACCTCCAGGTTTACCCACGGAATATCAGAGCCCAGAAGGATTTCAGAGACAAACCTTCCAGGCAGGATTCTGGTAAAGACTGGACACTGAGGCCCAGATAGGGTCAGGCTCTGTCCCAGGGCATACAGATCATCCAGGCAAAATCAAGGATCCTGGCCTTTCAGGTGTGCTACCCTGGGATCACCCTGCCTCCCTGTGCCCCAGTAGGACAATATCCTAAACCCTGCCCTATCTGCAGTTTCATAGGCAGCCCAGTGACTAGAGGTAGCAGAAAGGGGCCAGGCTGTTCCTCCCTTAAACTCCTCCTCAAATCTGATCTCCCCCAGCAGCCAGAGGAAGATTCTAAAACACTAATCTGATCACATCACTGCCCAGCTTAAACTCACTGGCTGAAGGATAAGGTCAAAGCTCCTGGGAGTACCCACCGAGACCCCATGATCTCCTCGCCTCTGCTACCTCACCCAGCCGCTCCATACTTCCTAGAGCTCCCCAGATGGTTCCTGCCTCTAGGCCTCTGCACGTGCTGTTTCCTTCGCCTGGATTGCCCTCCTGTCCTCTGCTTCACCAGGTCACAGCTCGGACATCAGCTCCTTTAGGCAGCCTTTCTTGCATCCTGTGTCCCACAGACTCTGAACTTCTTGGGAGGGACGGGTCAAGGCAGTGCTGTATTCATCTCTGCATCACACACCTGAATATTGCAGGTGACTCAATAAATGCTGGAAATGAACGTCCTGGAGAGAGAGACTAAATGAGGCTGTGGAAGTAGCCTAGGAATGGATCCGGGCCTAGCAGGACCATCCTGGAACAAAGGGGCTCCGGCTCAAAGGCTGGCCCCACCCCTTCTGAACACTGGTCTCTGGAAGGAAGCCTCACCACTGGTCTCAGGGTTCAGTGTTAGAGCTCAGAGGCCAGCCATGCAGCCGGGGTAGGGGTGGGAGGAGCAGTGAACCACTGATGGTAGGTCTGATCGTGCCTGGCACTATGCTAAGCACTCCACAAACGATTCTCAGTCAATCCTCACAACAGTGCTGAGGAGGAGATTTGTAGTCCCATTTCACAGAAGAGGCAAACGAAGCTCAGAGATGTTAAGTGGTGAGCCAAAGGCCGCACAGCAAAGGTACCTAAAGAATTAGAAATTAGGTAGCTGAAGGAAGGGGGTGGGGAGAGCTTCTGCCTAACTCCACAACTCAAGTTCTCTTCCCCGGCATCTACCTCCAGCCAGCAAAGCCTTCATTTCTAGCACTTCTAGGTCAGGACTCTGAACTCAGGCAAGAGTAGTGACTTGTCCAAAGTCACTGAGGCCTCCTGAGCCCTGGTCTAGTGCTGAGGTCACCTTGCCCCCATGTGGGGCTCCCATTACTGGGCTGCACTGCCCTTTGCCCCAGGCCTACCCCACCCACAGCAGCTGAACACCCAGCCAGATTAGGGAAGGGAGGATGTGGCCAGAATATTCATGCCAGGTTTACACTGGGATCCTGTCTCTTAAGGCTCCAATTTTCCCTTCTGAAAAATAGGCAGGACCACTCTGCCTAATAGAAACCGAACCTTTTGCAAAAGCATCTTAGGATAAAAAAAATAATAATAAGTAAATAAATTTAAAAAGTCAATGGAAAATCATTTAGCCTCATTCCAGGCTCCAAGTCCTACCAGGATCACACTCAGACCTACCTAGTTACTTCCAGCACCCCTCCCCATTACTACCTCCTGGTACCACTGTGTCAAAAGAAGGAGCCCAGCTTTACTCCTGTCCCTGACTCAAAACATTGCTCCCCTACCTCCCCGCGTAAACTTCTAGGCCTCTATCAGCAACCTCAACTGCAATCACAGAATTTTCTCATTAGGGAAACAACAAGACACAGCAATGAAGAGCATTGCTTTTGGAGTCAAAATGACCTGGGTTCGAATCCCAGCTGTGCAGTCTTGGGGAAGTTATGAAACCTCTCTTAGGCTCAGTTTCCTCATCTGTCAAAAAGGGATAACAGTGCCTACACCTCAACAGTTGTTAGAGGATTCGAATGTGATGGTTTCTAGCGCTTAGTAATTGGTAGCCGATATTACTGTCTATACCTATATATTGTCTATACTCTGTGTGAGAACAAAGTTCTCCACTACCACTGTCTGAGGCTCCCAAGATCTTCAGAAGGGAAGATCCACTGGAACTGCAGCTCTACAATAAAGAGACATCTGGGTTCCAGCAGCCCCACCATAAACACAAAGCCCTGAAAAACAAGCACCTCAGAGATCCATGGGACCCAACTGGCAACCAATTTTACGCTTAATTTCCAAATTACAGAGTCCCTGGCCTAGAATAAGTCTCCAAGGACCTAGCAGTCTATCCTTCTGCCTCCAGTTATCAAACTATCCCAGCAAAAGAAACTTACTTGCTCCCATTGCTTAAAAATCCCCACAACATCCCTAGATGAGGGATGGCAAACACATATTCATTCCATCAATGACTGATGGCTATCTGGGAGTGCTGTGCTAAGGAGGATTCTGAGGGTCTGTCTCAAGTGAGCAGGAAAGAGCACAGTGATGGACTAGTAATGTCTGCCATGGGCTCGGGATAGGAAATGTCCCATTCCATGGGTTCGTCATTCCCACTCTGTATCTTCCTTGACTATCAGCCCCCCGAAGACAGAGACCGAGCCTTATTTGACTCTGTGTCCAGTATGATGTTCGGCATAGCACCCAGCCTAGAGAAGGAATTTAGGGAACGTTTGCTCTTAAAATCTTTACAGTTTGAAAGTTCTTGGTATCTAGTTAAAATGTCTCTTGCCGCATGCTGAGGGGTCCAGCCAAGATTCCCACTGTGTCTGTACCTAGTCCCAACCTCTGATCCCTTCCCATACTGCCCTGTGCTGAGAGGAGCTGGCTTCTCACCGGGGCGGTGGAGTAGGGGGAGCCAAAGGGTAAGGCCTGTCGAACACGTGCATGTGGTAGGCTGGTGGGGAGTACACAGGAGGGGGCTCTTCGTCGGAGCTATCAGGTTCCAAAGTCCTTTCCAAGATCTGCATCAGAGAGAATAAAGAAAAGTATATTAACAACCCTTCCTTGAATTTAAGTAACATTTACACAAGACCCAGTGTGGGCAAGGATGTAAAGGAACCCTGCTTTGCTGGTGGGAATATAAATTGCTACAACCAGCACTTTGCAAAAACCGTTTAGCTTTATATACTGAAAGTCTACCCCTGACCCTACAATTCCAACATACTCTAAAACATGAAAGCACGCGTCCCCAAAAGAATGTTCAGAGCAGCATTATCCACCTAAGTAAGGTTCAAAAACAAGCAAAGCGAATCACCGTGATAGAAGTCAGAGCAGTGAGGGTGTGAGGGCGGAGAAGCCGGGAAGGGGTATGAGGAGGATTCCAGGTCCTGTTGATATTTCTTGATCTGAGTGCTGGTGAAATGCCACTGAGCTGCACACTTGTGACGGACAAACTCTTCTATACATGTGTTATTGTTGATAACTAACTTTAACATCAGTCACACCCTCTCTCAAAGTACTTCTACATAGATTATCTCACCTAGACCCCAATTTGGCAAGGTAGGATATGGATTGTTACCCCATTATACAGATGAGGAAACTGAGACCCAAGCTGACTAAGTGACATGACAAAAGCCACACACTGTTTTTAGAACTGAATCTTCAACTTGAACATGGTCTCTGCAGCAAGGGTCTCTCCCTCAGGCACAGTGCTTGCATTTTCCAGAGTGGATTCTCAGGGTGCACAGCGGCAAGGAAAGTACTCGGGGTGTCCCTCCTTCCCAGATTCCTCGCTTCATCTAGGAGCCAGAAAGAGGAGCAGGCAGAGGCCAAGGGCTGGGCAAAGGCTGGGGTTCCTGCTCCATGGACTGACCTAGACCCTTCCCCAGAGGTCTACAGAGAGAAGTCTGGGGCAGGAGGCAGCCATCAACCAAGAGATCCAAGGACACACAACCCCAACCAGCCTATACCTTAGCCTCCAACACTCCTCTCTTTTCCTCCCCAGCTCTGTTCCCATCTCCTTCAAGATCAAAGAACCTAGGAAGGACTCAGAGGCTGTCAATTGGCCCCAGAGTCTCCACACCCCATGTTTTAACCTCAAGTGAGTTTGCAGAAGTCACTGCTAAACTGCCTCTGCTCTGCCTCTGCAAGCCTGGGCCGGGCCAGGTTGTACTGGCACATCCCGGCCCTGAGCCCAGCCGTGCCTAGAATCTTACAGGGACACCTGGCAGATGGGAAGGTGGTAAGTGAGCATGCACACGAGTGCACACATGCTCACACACGCGCGCACGCGCACACACACTGCCACGCTCTGTGCATATACAGCAAGCCTGACCCAAGGAGGCCTCTTGCCCTGGAATGCACTAACGTTCTTTCCTTTGAGGCGGAAAGTATTTAAACAGATGCTTTTGCAGAAAGAGAAGAATGTAGCTGCTTTGCAGGCCACTGCTCTGCCTACCTCAAATTTCCAAAAGAGGGAAAAAAGAGAGAAGGAGAGAACACTGTGAGCTCCATTCTTATTCACCGGTGAGCCTCAGGTGTCTGGCACAGGACAGCGGCTCAGCAACTACCTGGCACACCCAGAGACCATACTGGTACTGTCCCTCAGCCCCTATTCCCCATCCCCTAGACCCCACTGCTCTCCAGGGACAGGGTTCCAGGCTGGGGCCTTGAGGCCAATTGCTGGAGGATAAGCCTCTCCACCTTCAGTGGCTGGTCTAGTCTGTCCACACTGAGCTTGGTTTGAGTTACTTGGGTGAGGAGGGGTGAGCTCAGTGGGAATTGTTCCTAGAAGAATGCTGCTTGCGGTTTCCCATAACTGGCCTAGCAGTTGGGGTCCCCAGACGCAGGGAGATCAGGCCTCCATGACCACAACAGGAGGTACCCTGGCTTCTCGGCAGCTCCTGTGCCTCAGTGTGGCCTCTTGGGGCTGCGAGAACCAGACACTCATCAGAGACTCCTGGAGCAGAATGAGGAAACGCCAAGGAGGCAGGCAGCGGGCCAGGCACGCTCCAGAAAGGCTGATCCCGTCTCCAGGGAGAGCAACCCCAGCCATGTTTCTGGCCTCCCCCTACCTCTCTCCCCGCAATCCCACCAGCCACAATGAGGTTGTTCTTCTGGCTCTAAAGGTGCTGAAATTTTCGGCTCTGTGGCCTCCTGGCTTAATTCAGTGTGGGTGATGGATGCCTGCCAGGTGCTCTGGGGGCCAGGGTCTGGCCATTTATCTGACAGAAGATGTTTCTCTGTGGCAAAGCTACCCCTCAGGCCAGCCCACCATCCATCAGCCCCCAGAGAGGGGGCTTTTTCCAGTCAGCAGTTATTGTCATTCCAGCTGCTGCTCATAAATTTTCCAAAGCACTTTCCGCTGGCTCAGGAACTGCCTGCCGATGGGCTCAGGCAGAACTCCAAAGGTGGGGGGTTGGGGACACAGCCAAAGAGGGGTGCTGAGAAGGGATTCAATCTGGAAAGCAAGATTCTTAGAAAAACAGAAGCACACACAGTGCAGGCCTATCTGGAGGGACGCTGAAGCCTTGCAGAGGTTCGCAGGGCTGTGGGTGCCATGGACAAAGGAAGAAATAGTATCCTACCTGCCAGCCTGCAGAACAAATGAGACTGTAGAAGGGTCAGAGTTTTCAGAGAACTTTCCTTCCAACTCGCACTTAAAGGATGTATCTGCAAACACACACACATACACACACACACACACACACACACACACACTCACCCCTCCTTTTCACAAAGAAAATCTGGGTTTTCCAATATTCCCACCCACTTGCTAATCCAGGCAGGTCACAGGAATGGTCTCCTGGGGAAAGAAACTAAAGAAAGCTGTGTAAAGAGAGCAGCAACATTTATTCATTCAACAACATTCCCTGAGTGCCTGTGATGTGCCAGGATTGTCCCAGGTGTTGCAAGAGGCACAGGGATGAACAAGATGTCATTGTCCACAAAACTTCTCTACCTGGAGAGAGAAAGCTGAGGCAGCATCCACCAAGGGAGGAAGAGCAAGTGAGCTTCACCCTGCAGGACGACTCTGATTGATGGACTGTGGCTGCCTGCAGGGCTGTGTAGAGTAGGATTCTGAAGGCTTATCTGGGTCTAGGTTTTCTCGCTGTAAATGAGAGTAATAATACTGCCACCTCCTCATACAGTTTGTGAGGATTAGAAGAGATAACATCTAAAGCATGAGGATGGTGCCTGGCACAGGCTGGGACTCAATGAAGAGCAGAGTTAAATCCCATCCACTGAGTCCTTCTTCTGTCTTGTCCATGGCTGCATGTGCCACATGCTCCTGCAGGCAGTGACTCTTTCACTGAAGGACTCTGTGTGCAGCACTACAGGTCCTGCGGAGGCTGGGGTCCAAATATGTACTAAACTCTTGAATGGGGCCAGAGGACTGGCCACGCCCAGCAGGTGGGCCTTGATGCTGTGGGGTGGTCACATATCCCTCAACCACCTCCTTGGAGTGAGAAGAGAACGGCTTGGGCATCTATCGCTCACTACCCCCTCCATCATGCCTCAGTTAGAGAGAGTCTGACGTCACTCCTCTTCTGTGGCTCCTTATGCTCTGAGAGCACAGCCCCACTCATTCTCAGTGGTTAGGCCTCGTCAACCTCTCAGTCTCCATTCATTCTAGGATCCTGGCAGATGGTCCTGCTGTCAGTTCCGTAGTGATTCATGGTCTTTCACCTCTGAGCCTTTGCACAAGCTGTTCCCTCTGCCTGCACACCCTTTCCCTCACTCTTCACTCTTCCTTTGGGTCTCAGCATAGCCGTCCTCTTGGAAACCATCCCCTCCTCTCCTATTTTAGTATATGTGCATCCGAAGCGGCTACCCTCCTCTCCCGCTTCGGCTTCTCCCATCATAGCACTTACCACCCTGAGCTGTCATGCCTGACTCTTGCCTCTAGTCCCCACTGGACTGTGAACTCTTCGAGGGCAGAAACTTTGTCTGACTCGGCCCAGGTGGATGGATACCCAGAGGTTCAACAGTAGCCTTTCTTTGAAAAATACAGACTACAGCGCTCCACCCTGGACTGGCATTTACTATGTTGAATGGGGCCCAGGTGTCTGCATTTTTAACAAGCTCCTTGATTCTGATGAGTCTTTAACCACGATCTAGTACCATGTTCGGCATACCACTAAGTGCTCCGTGCTTGTTGAATACTGCATGATTTCTGCCGGTAAAATAAGGTCACTGACTGACTTGGGTACGGTTTCCCCAGGAGAAATAAGGCTGCTCGCTAGTTAGAACCCAGATAGGGTCCTAACCCGAGTCCTCTAAGGTTCAAACAGCGCCGGAGCCCCTGGTGAATTACCAGGGCCACGCCCCTACCTCTGGGGGGATGCTGTCCTCCGAGTCCGAGCTGTCCTCGTAGACGCTGCCGCCACCCTCCTCCAGGTTCATCTGCAGCAGCTGGTCGATGGTGGCATCCACGGCGCCGCTGTTGGCGCGCAGCACGCACTCGATGATGTCGTAATCCATGTTGGGGAACATGGTCTTGAAGTCGTCCATGGCCTGGTTGAACTCGAGGCGGCGCACCTGGCGGGCGGGCCGGCTGTTGTTGAGCTCCTGCGAGGCAGCCG